TCGATCTTCTGCGACTCTCCCGGTAGACGGAACCCTTGCAGGAACGTCCTAAGAGCATCAACGAATGCAAGGTTCCTGAAATCCATCAAGTCCACAAATGCATGCATGATCGCAATGTTCTCCTCATCGCTAAGCAGAAGATGAGCATAACCCCAGACGTAGTTGATGCACATACCCCTCCCCGAGATATTCGCCTATCATAGTCTTGCTGAGCCCGTCAGTTTCCAAAAGGAACTTGGCGATATCTTGAGCGGAATTGCTCGGAATGAAGCCGGTCTCAATGAAGAATTGTATACCCTGATACCAATGTTGAGTCGCTGTTCACTTCAGAATGGAGGGATACATACCCGCTTCGGTTTGGTATTGAACTTCTTGATACCCTCAAGCAAAGTTGTCTTCCTCTGCTTCGCACTCTCGAACTTACTCGGGTCATCAGCGACATCTGGCGTAGGCTGTCTCGTAGGATCTGCACTCATGGAACCGGAGGCTCGATCGAACGACGGGTCAGGAGTAAGACTCTCCCGCCGGGTATCCTCGCTCATCTGAGATCGAGTAGCAGGATCAGAGCCGTTATCGAGCACCGTCGTACCTGCAGTTCCCCAAGCGACCAGCGACCTAAGCACGGCTACGAGACATTCCAAGCCTTGCCTTCGAAGCTGCTGCTCAGAATGACCGATTGTTGACGTGTCAACCGAACCCGGGACTGCCAAAGCACTAGTGCTCAGAGACGGCGGGATAGCAGTAGATTGTCCCTTCGTGGTAGGTTGGAGCGAGGGGCTGGAGGGGTCACTCCCTTTCTGCAGTGCATGCATGATAGGAGCGGTCGATAACTTGGAGATGATGTTCATAAGACTGTGGACGGCAGAGACAACGTCAGCTCATGATGTCGGATCGAGGAGATGTGCATACTGTTCATAGATATTGTCAGCTGCCTCGCTATCACAGTCATAATTCAGGTAGATCTCAACGAGGGCTTGGGGATCTCGACATAAGCGTTGGAGCATGCCAAGTATCACCGCCTTCTGCTTGAGGGTGGATGTCTTCATCTCGAGGATTGGGATGAAAATCTCATGTAGCAACACTTCGATCTCTTTCTATAGGCCAATCATGAACGTGAGATCGGGATACACCATTCAATTTTACCGACCTTGAGCTTCGTGCGCATGCCGGAGATGACCCTCCAGAAGATCTCGACGCTGATCTCGAAGACCTGTGGGACTGGACTGACAGCATTGCGGCTCAAGCACAGACAGAGATATTGGTTGATCGCCTGGACAAACGGTGTCGCCTCATGTGAGGAGCTGGAGTATATGATCGCGGAGGGCGAGACAAAGAGAGGCATATGATTGTTGAGGATAGTGAGGACGAGGTGCAGCGAGAACAGCTTTGAGCGCATGGCATGTGACTTCAGATCCCGCTCGCTATATATATCGGTGAGAGACATCACATACAAGTATGAGAACAGATTACCTTTCCGTGTTCAATGGCTTCATTGTGAGCTTGCACAGCGCCCGAAACACTAAGAAAGCATCTTTAATGAACAGCTCCTGTGTCGATAATGGCCTCATTGGTATTTCGGCATCCTCCTCGCCCAAAGTCTCACTTGCTGTTGTTTCAGGCGGTTCCCTGTCAAGGCTAGATAAGAAATTTGGACAATGCTAAGTCAGAACTACTCACGGAAGGTGCTGTACGCTGACTCCAGCATGTCCGTTTGGATGATCTCCGGTGCCTGAGTGACTCTTCGCAGATTGCGGAACATCGGAAGGCCCATGCACTTCCATTTCTGCAGCACCATTGGTCTGAACAGTATCGTCACCGCCTGAAGTAGATGACGTCGCTTCCGATGCCTCAGTCGACGTGACATCTACGCGCGATGAAGATGGTACGGAAGACAACTGTGAACCATCGTGTGAGGGGGTTACAGACGGCCTGTTTGAGAACACAGGTCTGTCGTCTCTGGAGGCGAGTGCGATAGAAGAGTCGCTACCGGGGGATTTCGGTGGGAAAGCTCTGCATCGTGCAAAAACATGGTTGACCATCTGTGTGAGCCCACCTTGGGCAACCATTTGGTTTACAGGGTCCGTGCTGAGTAGAAACACGTTATACACGGTACGAACCGCCTTGAGCAGGGATGACTGATGCACCAGAATGGTCGGAGAGAGGACCAAGGCCAGAAGCGCCTTCACGATCTGAAGTGAGACGGCCTCTGGTGTAGTTTCGGTGTGGCAAGATGTGATGGTGTTGACGACAACATCAACGAGGGTAGGGGTGGGTAAATTTGTGTGAGAACCATTTGACATGGAGTGTCTAGGATTAGGGGACACGGGCGGGGAGGGTAGCTGCTGCAGTTCGGGATTGGTCTCAACGAAGAACGAGTAAGAGATTAGTTTCGAGATGCAGTCCAAGCTCGCTATCATGAGTTTCTCGTTGCGAGTCTCGCATGCCAGACGCAGTGGCTCGAATATTTCACGAGGACGATCTCCACCTTGACCCGACTTGACCATATCCAGCGCCCTCTGCACGCTCTCCCGAAGAGGTGTCGACCGTTTTGCCTCCCGCGATGCAGCAATGGTCTCAAGTGCAGAGGATATCAGCACCACGGAGACTGTATGGCCTCTCGAAATAGTCAGAGAGCGTCTATGGGATGCTGACGAGGAGGGTCTTGGTTGCGTATCCAGAGGAGCGGGAACATTACGAGGCCTGCGATGATCATCCGTAACTCTAGAGCTTGTGCTCTCAACAGAAGCTCGCGCATTGCCATTGGTGACGGATGCGGGCGGCAAACTGTCTCGACGCGCCTGGGGGCTAATGGGGTGTGCGTTCACGGCAGGTTTCGCAGGAGGTGTGGGAGGTAGAGATGCCGCCGCCTCTGCAGGATATGATGGCAGGTGCACCTTTTGGACCGCCGGTAGTGATTGCGAATGTATTTCTATGTCGTCTGCGAGGGGAGCGTCCTGTTCCTCTTGTGACACAGGGACAACTTGAGATGCAACGGAGTCGTGTGGTTCATACTCGGGAGCGGGAGCGGGTACTGGGGCAGCTACAGAAGGCTCTTCCACGTCGTGTTGCACATCAACACGCTCGCTCTCTGTTGACCTCGCGTAGTTCTCGTTGACAGGATCTCTGGGTATGAGAGTAAGCTCAGATGAGAAGCCGGGCGTGTCAGGAGGTGGCGAGAGCGGCAGAGGTATCGACGAAGCCCATCCAAGGTCAGCGTCGGCCATACAGAGCAAGAGCTGTCAGCGCTGTTCGCTGAGTTGTGGAACAGGCCTGTTCGTCGTCTTGGGCAGTGAGTGAGGACACTGTGGGTGTGATGAAACCGGACGCGCTGCGGCGGTGATGCCGGCGCGGAGACGCTCGTGTGCGCTTATTTGCTTACACTCCGTTAGACATTTTCCAGTTTTCTGCATTCATTGTCTACGTATTTCATCTTTGCGCTACGCCAATATGACCTCTTCTAAGCCAAATGTGCCTCAAGATGCGTCTGCAGCAGTTCTCAAACCCTCTGAACCCATCTCGGAGGAAGCTATCTCTGTGGAGGGTCCTAATTTCGATCAGTCCGTCTCGTTGCAGCAGCTCCTGGAGAGCTACAAGCGGATCGGCTTCCAGGCAACCAGTCTTGGCAAGGCAATCGACATCGTCAACAAAATGGTGCGTATTTGGATGTCTCTCGTGCATCCCGCGTGTGTTCATTTTCGCAGCGCAAATGGCGCTTGTCCGACGAACCTATCGCTGAGGACGAACGCGAAGAGTTCCTGGACCCCGATGTCAGGGCTAACACTCGCTGCGACGTCTTTCTGGGCTACACTTCAAATCTTATCTCATCTGGCCTGCGCGAAGTGATATTGCATCTTGTCAAGCACAAACATGTAAAGGCGATCGTCACCACGGCTGGCGGCATCGAGGAAGACTTCATCAAGTGCCTGGGCAAGACGTATCTTGCTGATTTCAACTTGGATGGAGCAGACCTCAGAAGACGAGGCATGAACCGTATCGGCAATCTCGTCGTGCCGAACGACAACTACTGCAAGTTCGAGGACTGGCTTACGCCAATACTTGACGCCATGTTGGCAGAACAAAAGGAGACAGGAGAAGTATGGTCACCAAGCGCGTTCATTCGAAGGCTTGGAAAAGAAATAAACAATGAGGAATCAGTGTATTATTGGGCCTATAAAGTAAATAGGACATCTACTTCTCTGCGCTCTGTCGCCGTTTGTACAGATGCTGAAGTACCATACAGAATGACATCCCGGTCTTCTGCCCTGCTCTCACAGACGGATCGCTTGGAGATATGATTTACTTCCATGCCTTCAAATCGCCAGGATTGATTGTCGACATCGTGCGCGACATTCGCGCGCTGAACGAACTATCTCGGAAGTCGAGAAAAGCGGGGATGATTATCCTTGGTGGTGGCGTTTGTAAACACCAGATTGCCAACGCGATGTTGATCGTGAGCTCTTACACACGCATGAATCTCTGTATTACGATCTGACTATAACACACTGCAGCGTAATGGCGCTGACTTTTCCGTATTCATAGTATGCATCGTTTTTATGCAATCACCTTGGGCAAGGCTGACTCTGTATCCCCTTAGAATACCGGGCAAGAATTCGACGGGTCAGATTCTGGGGCAAGACCTGATGAAGCTATCTCGTGGGGAAAGATCAGAGCAAACGCAGAGAGCGTCAAGGTACATCTCCTCGAACGGCTTCACAAAGACGATCGATACTGATGTTCTCGAACCAAACCGTAGGTTTTCGCAGATGCAACGCTTGTATTTCCATTACTAGTCTCGGCTACATTCGCGCAAGATTCGGAGGAACGGAGAGCATAGCAAGCAAGTAGTACAATCACAGTAACTCGCACATCACAGTAGCACATGCCTTACTTGTAAACACCATAGGGAGAAGCTGTGTGGTTCTGAACGACAAATGTTATCTGATACGCGACGCGTATGAAAGGTAGGAAGCCAATTTGGCATCAAAACAGTACAAAATAATTGACCACCGCAGGGGTCGAACCTGCAATCTCCTGATTACACGATCGTAGTCAGACGCGATGCCATTTCGCCAGGCGGCCACGTCAATGTGTTCCAAGGTTATATGTAGGACAGTTCCGCTCACGTATTCTCCTAACTTGTGGTGGAGACGGACTCTCATTATCATTAATTCGTAACGTCCGTTGCAGATGAGAGCATTTGAACGCAGTACATTGGTACGTAGGAAGACATGGAGATATGTACATGGAAAAGAAGTTGAAGGGAATGACAATCAAGCACTGCGAGCTCGGCATCACGGGACGGACAGTGATGTCGAGGGCCGGCGTGAGCTTCCGTGAAGCTTCCAGTCTGAAGGGTGATGCAATCCGACGGGTGCCGAAGGAAAACCATTAGCTAGATAAGACGGTAAACTCTTCAATAACACGATGGGAAGTGCGCAATAATTCAAGACATGCCTCAGCGGAACTCGCTCGACCAGAGGATGAGATCATCCTTGAGAAGATGAAGAATCATCAGAGAATCCTCCAGGATTTGCCCTGTGAACATCGGATCCGTCACTGAGGAAACCGCCTCGTCGAATGCATGCTTAGCCAAATAGCACGCTCGCTCTGGACTCTGCAAGATGTCGTGGTAATAAACAGCGAAATTGAGCGCCAAGCCCAGACGAGTCGGGTGAGCGGGGTCGAGAGTATTCAAGGCATGCTTGTATGCAAATTTGTATGCCTCCAGTGACGTCGACGCGTACTCTTCCCGAGACTTGCCGCGAGAAGCCTCCGCAAGGTAACGGTAATAATCGCCGCGCCTGCAACATCAACTGATTAGCGGTAGAAGCAAGCGCAATATTGGAAAATTTAACATCTTGCAATAGAAAACCTTCTCTTCCCCTGTTTCGGCGGAAGGAATGAGGTAACTCTCCAACAAACCAAGGACGTCCTTGCAGGTAGTTGCAATGTCGTCTTCAATCCTCTCTTTCTGCACGTCCATTAGCACAATCTCTTGCCGGGGTAGATGATGCATTTGCGCGCGCTGCAGAGTATCAATGCTTCGCCAGCTAGCCCGAAAAGCAGCTGTGATATTCTTGTATGCAATTGAGAGGAGATTGCGCTCATCGATGGTGAGTTGGATGTCAGAGACGGCAATGACCTGCTTGAGCTGCGCAATGACGTCTGCAGGACTCGTCAGGGCTATAGACGAAATAATACCAAGTTAGTCTAACCTTGATAGCGTTCGGCCTGATCGGCCACCTTCGCAAGGAAGAGACAGTCCAGTCGAGAGAGCGTAACATTCGTCTGCATTACGTGTCAATCAAGGACCAATCCAGTCATGCCATACTCACGGGAGACATCCTGCAGCAGTCGCAGTGTCGGACGAGCGGGAGGCATGCTTACACTGATATATCCCATGACAGGCGTCAACGCGCGTTTGCCATGATGTTCGGGCACAGGGCATCATGCGATAACCAGGAGGCTGAGGTGAGAGGTTTGTACACATCCGGTCCGGGCGAATCATCGTGTCACGGCTTCGAATCGAGACCTTCGCGGAGCTTGGGAGAGGGTTTCATCTGGCCGCAGGGCGTCGCAGTAGCGCAGTTGCAGAAAACACCCAGGGCGCATCTACTGAGATCTACCTGGGCACAGGGGCATCTTCGTTGTGGTGTAGAGAGGAGAATCCCCAGCTACAATCGTGGACTCGGGCGGCTCGCTGCCTCGTGTAGTCCGAAGGACTTCCGACTTCATGAGACGTGGCAGCAAGACTTCTAGTAACTGTGAGGCCTGAGTAACTTCATAGACGCACCGAATTCACATTCATTCCGGAAATGCCACTACTCCGACAAGTCAACAGGCACACCAGCACTTTCTTCCTCCTCATCGAACCATTGCTCTTCAGCGTCTCTGTCATTCGCTGCATCCCACTTATCGTCCCAATCCACCTTATCATAGTCAATTGACTGCAGAACATGTCAGTCTTCCCGTAGCTTATATCGCAATGTAAAATGAGCATTACATACCTCCAAGAGTCCGTAAATGAAACGATCTTTAATAACCCGCATGAAGGTATCCCTAATGTCCTCCAACGTCTCTTCTACACCATCGTTGGCCCCGACTTCATCATCTTCATCTTCATCTTCCTCTTCCTCTTCTTCTTCGCTCTCTTCTGGTAGCGAGTCAAGCTGTTCGGCTTGTTGGCGACGCAATGTCCCCACTCGTTCCGCTTCGCGCTCTTCCTCATACTCGGCAAGCAGCGTGCCTAGCTTTCCTACATGCTGTTTGGAGCTCCCCATGAACTCCTTGTTTGCCCACTCCTTCTCCTCCTTTCCTTCCTCCTTGCCGCCTCGTTCCCTGACGGGCCATAGAGTCGGCCAGGTAGCCTTCGCGACCTCGAAGCGTAACTCTGGCGGATCTGACTCGACGTACGTGAGGCGTCTGTTGCGAATCGCGGGGATGGTTGTTCTCTGTTTGGGCACAGTGAGAGCAGTGAAGTGGCTGGACAGATGAGGAGGTAGTTGTCGTAGGTGCCTGAGCAGGAAGTCGACTGGATCTGCACTGGGTGAGGGCTGATAGTCTCTGGGGAGCCCAAGATATGATAGAAGGACCTTGTCGACGGCAGGAGTGGAAGGTTCGGGTCCCGACATCGAAAATGTGTTGTATCGAGACACTAGAGTAGATAATAAATTTGCTCGATATTAGAGTGAGAGTTGCAGACAAGAGCCGAATTCTCTGCCTACGTCATCGATCGTTCCGCGGAGGTAATGTGTTTACGGATACCGGATTGAAATAATACAGGCCGGTCAACACGACAACACCACCTACTCAACATCCTCGGAGCGTACTACTCTATGTAAATGAGGACAACAGCTTTCCGCTAAGCATGAGATGCTGCAAAAGGTACGACATCAATGTGGAGCATCGGAGCAGATATAACAAGACGAATTGGTATACAACGAAATGTGGAATACAGTCCGTTAGTCCGTGGTCAAGGCCGCTAAGGAGTGTCATTATATATACGCAGGTCCATTATACCGCCCTTTAAACGAAGTTCAAGACCAGTAAAAGGGATAGCAGGGCTCCTGCGACCGGCGTAGGTAGTCTCATCGCCCCGGACGTAGTCGTCGAACTGCCTGCAGAAGTACTAGGCGATGTCCCGCTGCCCCCCTTGCTGCTTGTACCGTTGCTACTGCCTGCGGCACTCGCATTGACAGAAGTCGTCAGGAAGAGAAGTGCCATCCCAGGGCCCGGTACCTGAACGGTACAGCCACTCGAGCATACCAGGGACTGGTCATTCCACGCGTTTGAGGGAAGCGGGGTCAAAAGACCGTCCCCGACATTGGCGAGTGTCTGACCTCCCCATGTGATCTGCATCTCTTCGTTTACCGAGGGTGCCGTCCAGAAACGGGCGGTGACATTCGTCGCGGATGGCATGGAGCGGAAGAAAGCCGAATCGAGGGAGAAGTTGGAGGGGGTTCCGGACGAGTTTGCAAAATTGAACAGCACCAGACTGTTGACTGTCGACGCGGAACCATCGTAGACGGCGTAGCCGGCCGTTGTAGCACTTGGGCTGTGCATCGAGCCCGAGATGTCGAGGTCGACGACTCTGTTACCATTGCTCCCTTGCAGCGCCTCCGCAACCACCAACATCGAATAGTAATTCGGATTCGTCGACCAAGCGCCCGAACCGCCTGCGACTCCGTCCGGGGGCATGACAGGATTGTATGAAATCCCCGGTTCTCGGGTATGTAGATACGCTGCTGAGTATCCAACGCTCGCCATCTGCAACGCATAATCCGCTGTCCAAAGAGCCACACCGAAAGTATTCGACAGGCCCGGCACGCCCCCGCAAGACAGAGAGTTGAACTCGTCCATGACGAGTTGTTTACGGGACGCAGATGGTGCGGACAGCAGGAAATCGATGCCTGGTGTTTGCCACTGGGCAAGGGACACTGTATTGGAATGCTGAAGGTAATGGCTGAGGCCAAATGCGTACGTCCCTGAACAGACGTCCTGCGGATAGTGTTGGAGGGTGATGTATTTCAGACGATTTGAGAAGTCGTTCAACCACCCAGACTGCAGTACAGCATCCAAGTCCTGCGAAGTTTATGTCAGCATCACAGCTCTTGCAAAGAGTTTCCATTATGATGTGGGAGACCACACGATGTGCGGATCAGGGTAACTGGATTGCCCAATGCCATCAAATTCGGTATCGGGTTCCAAAAAATGCTCATACGAGTGTGAAAGCAGGCGAATACGTACCCAGAAGCAGCAAATTGTTGGGCCTGAAATATTGTCCAGCGATAACACATCGCCATCGGTGGTGTTTTGTAGGTTCTCCAGCACGACCCAGTAGTCCTGAGTATGTAGAACTTAGCAGCAGCCAAGATACAAGGGAGGCTGACAGAATCACCCCAATATAATCATTCACGGTGTAGTTTGCGAGATTCGGCCTATCTCCGTGACGTGAATAAAGATCAGGTTCCTGAAATCCCAGTGATTAATCATATAGTTCAACTAGTCAACTAATGCGACGCACATTTCCCAAGATGAACGAGTCAAGGTTGTCACCTAGTGCCTTTTGCGAATCTCCGGCCAATAACGGGATATTAGAGCTGTTCGGATTCCGTAAGCTCAGCCCTACAATAAAGTCAGACTTTTGATACTTGCGTGAGGCCATCACGCACCTATGAGGTATTTTATACCGCCCACGGACCCACTTACACTGTTCATGACATCGAATGTGACCGGACCAAAGTTCACGATGGGATCGTTTGAATTCGAACTCGGATCAGTGAATTCTATCATGTCCTGCTGTGTCGGCACGTATGTCGCACTATCCATGGAGTTCCCACCGAGTCGGATCCGAAGGGACTGCCCTGACGAGCGTGCATGAAGAGCTGACAGATAATTCAGCATAGGTTGAGGAACATTGCTGGTCGTGTTGCCGAAGTAATAATTTAGATAGGCAAGCTCGACTGAGAGACCAAGGAAACTCGAATAGACCACTGTCGCGTTTTCTGAAGGTGGGCTCGCAGGAGCGTCCACATTAACAGCCAATATTCTACCGCTGAGGGCAAACGGAAGGAGGAGAG